AGGTCTCAGGTTCAAATCCAATGAGAAATTAAAAAAATCTTCTTGTGGCCACGGAGGTTCAAATACGGTGACTACGGCCTATCTACAAAGCAAGTGGTCGCCCTGGGATTAGTCGGCTCATATAGCAAGTTGGATATTCAGGTTAATAAATAAATATATATATATATATATATATATATATATATAATTCTTTATAAATAATATATTTAACAATAAATGTACAATATATTCAATAATAATATTTAATTTACGGGGACGGAGCGGGTTGGATATCACGTAACCCGGCCTTGTCCCCATCCCCGGTTTTAACTTTTGGGATCCCGTCTCCATCCTTGATCCTTGGTTTTGTAGAAATCCCCGACCCCATCGGGTACACCGGGTTTCCCATTGGGACGGGTCTCATTCTCATCTCTAAAACATTATGTCATATTTTTATGGTGTTTTATTAAGGAATATTTTTCTATAATAACTTAGAAAACACGATTAGTTTACGATGACAACATGTTATATTTTGTTGCTTTGGTTTCGCAACAATTTTTAACAGAAAACCAATTTTACGTGACCCGAATTTTTTAAAAGTAAATATTTATTTTGATTTAGTATTAAATCATCTTGAAAGTAGTTTTAGAACATACTTTTGGACTTTTTATGGTACGATAAAGATATGAAATCGCTTAAAATAATGGTCTCTTAATTATTTTTGTTTCTACTCCATGGGGGATGCACCAAATACTGTTCAAATTAGTTGTATTTATTTGATTTCAATTGATATCGACAAGCTCAGGGGCCAAGGCCTTATGGCCATCAGCCACTGTTTTCGACAACAGAAGAATTTCAACTACTAAAGGTTTAATGGCGGGGACCTCATGGCCCCGTGGTCCACATAAGTATTCAGGGTTTTTAGATTAAAAAGTTATTCATATAAATCTGATCTTATTTTTGTTGCCAAATTAAAGGAGAAAAAAAAAGTTTTATTACTGATGTATGTGAAATAAAAGCTATACTTTTAGCAGGTTTTTTTTGGTAAAACAGAAGAAAAAAACGAGGTACAAAGGTTTTTTTTTGTTTATTATGTCGTATATGATCTATGAGTTTGAATCTTGTAGGGTTGGCTTGACCAATGATAAAGCTTGGGTCTTTGGGGATTTTCCTCAAAGGTCACCATACGGGTTTTTTTAAGGTTGTTCAGGTTGATACTTTAGTCTTCAGTACATCAAAATATTTTCATAACCTTGAATATGTTGTTTTCTCTACTCATATTTTATTTTTTATCATCAATCATTTAGTGCAATTTATTCGTACTCCTTAAATCTTATGTATATCACATTCTACTAATTTTCTCAACATATATATATATATGCCCACATTTACTAAACATATATGAATGAATTATATAGAGATGGAGAATAAATTGGAAATATATGTATATGAAGAGAATACGTAATAATGCAATTGTCTAATGTACATATTAATATGTACTTAACAATCATATTAAATCAAAGAAATAAAGGATATTAGATTCATTGGATTAGGTTTGATTTAAATGACCCTAACCAAATTCCGACTCAATACCTACAGTTTGAAGATTTTACTACTCGATTAAACCAAATTGCTTCAGGTTGGATTATTTCGCATTGAGTTAGGTTGGCTGAGTTGGTCGGGTTTTTGAACGCCCATACTTGCAAGGCCATTTGGGATTTTCATGATTGTTCTCCACGGCCCCTAAGATTAGTCAAGGTGTATACAAGCTGACTGGATAGTGGATACTAGTTAAAAAAATCTATGGTTTTAATGATAAATATGAAAATGGAAAATTAAAAAAAAAATATGGAGGTGGGTGGGGGAGAGGCCGAGAAGGGGCATCGGAGGTAGTGGCGGACCTAGGATTTTTCCTTAGCGAGTGGACCTTGCCTGCGATGTTGCGGTTTCACCCCTAACAAAAGTAAATTTTGTCGTATTTGAGAAATAAAACACATTTTCCAATGAAATCGATCTTTTGAACAAGACGCAAGTCTACGTTCTTACGTCACGTGTTTAACCGAGTTCCACCGTTTCGAAGACTTTCCTGTTTTTTAATTGATTTCATAAATTTTCTCAATTTAGATTGATTATCGTTACGCTTTACTTTTTGTTGTAGGTTTCTAAGTTGTCCTTTTATCTTTCTTTTTCAAGGTTTTCAATTTTGTTTTCTTATGCATCTAAGACTGCTAGTATTAAATATGATATTAAAATAACACTAGAATTCGAGCAATTGAAAAATGACTACACAGATTTACAGATTTACTGCAAATCAGATTTAGAACAAATACAGATACAATTTAGAGCAAACCTAGAATTTAGGGTAAGTAAGGCAAATCAATAGTGTAATTAAAGCAACTTAGGGTAAATAAATAAACCGTAACAAATAATATGCTTATGCGAGTCTCGGACCCGAGACCTCTTAGAGGGGTGCCGTTTTTACAATATTATAACAACCATCTCACCAACTGCTAGTCTGCTGTTACTATTTTGATATTTAAATATTTAAGAACACACTTAGAATTAAGCGGATCATCACTTTCACAGCTCGTTTTTTTCCTCTTGTGATAATTAATTGAGCGGAGGTACGGGACCACACTCAACTCTTAATAGGTCCGCCCCCGATCGAAGGTGATGCCACTTTAGACTTCTCTGGTGAATTACAAAATAGCCCTCGTACTCTCACTAAATATAATTAGGTCCATATACTTCACTTAACTACTCTTTTTGCACTTGTTTCCTTTTGCAAGTGACACTAAAAAAATATTGATTTTTTTTTTCTAGTGATTAATTATAAAATATTCCTTTTGTCTATTTTTTATTAAAAAAATTAAAGCGTAAATGATTTATTATAATGACAAATTTTCTTGTGTGGTTTATTTGTTTTTTTAACGATAAAAATTATGACATAATTGATTTTTTTATAACAAAATTTTTAAATGTCATCTGATTCATTTATGACTGAACAAAATAAAATTAGATTGAAACAAATTCAAAATGTCAATATTGATTAGGGGTGTGCAGAAAGTCATCTGATTCAATATCAACCGACCAATCTAATTAGAACCGACCAACCATCATCGAATATCCAATTGAAATTGGATTGGATCGGATCCAAAAATTTCAACATCCAAATCGGATCGGTCGGCTCGTGGATGACAATCCAACATCTAGGGGAGGATGCAATGGCAAAAAGGAGGGAGGAAGGGACCCCAGTCAAAAACTCAAAAAAAAATCATAGGTTAAAATTTAGGTTTTACATGATTTACTTTTCACTTCCCTCCATTACATTTTTTCACGGGCCCCCAACCTCAATCGAAATCGTTACTCTAACCACAAAAATCTGTTGAAATCAATCAAAAAAACCAAAAAAAATATTCGAAATCGACAAAAACACTAAAAAATCCCTCGAAATCAACCAAAAAACTTTAAAATTCCCTCGAAAACGTTGTAATTAGGTTAAAAACATATCGGACGATTTTGTGAGTCTTGAGTCACCTTAAAGGTGACCCCACTGAATAAAAATCCTGATCCGCCACTACCAACATCCAATAAAAACCTGAACCGATTCAATACCATGACCATCCAATGATCATCCAATTACCATCCAACTAACATCTAATTAATAACTATGTATAATTATTAATATTTTACGATTTTGTTTTTTAATTGATATTTATATAATAACTTAAGAAAACATACGAATAATTAGTTGAGTATTGGATGAATTAAATACGATCCAATGGATAACCAATAATAACATCCAATGGATAGAACCAATCTGATCCAATCATCCACTGCATTTGGATCTGGTTGGATGTCCAATGTAAAATCGGATTGGATCGGATGACAAAATCCAACATTCAATGGATGATTGGATCTCAACCGCTAAACACTTCTAATATCGATTGTGAAATGACAATTCAAAATCCAATAAAAATCAATCAATTCCATGTATTGATTAAGTTATTCAATAATAAGAACTCAATATCCACAAACATCTTTAACGATATCGAAAACGTATGAAGCTCTCTAAATCATGATATATCCCTTGTATTTTTTCTGTCCAACGACATTACAAGCATTCTAACACTTGGAATAATCAATGTTATTAACGTCTTTGTTGGACGTGAGGTGATGCTACATTTCTCAGCTTGAATGTTCGTTGCATCTATCAAGCACGTTTTTGACATCATTAAAAGAAACAAATGAAAAAACTAGTATTTTGATTAAAAAACAAATAATAACCGCATCTAAAACTTAAACGTAACGATGAAAAAAGTACCCTGTAAGCATCTTAAATTTGTAGTCAATGTTAATCTAATTACTTGAACCGCATCTTGCATAATTGTTGTGATACTTAAACACCGATGATCATTTTAGACCCTTTCAGCATCTTGTTACCAACCCTTTTACTTTTAATCCACCTAGTTGGTTACATGTTGTTGTTCATCTTCTTCACCATTTTTTGTCCGACTCGTTCTCGACATATTTGTCTAACAAGGTAATCATGGAGCATATTTTTGATTTATAGAGAACATTAAGCATAGAAACTCAAAATCCATTTTTTTAAGCATAAGCCGAAAATAGAGTGAGTGGGACAGGATTTCGCCAGTTAACCAGTAACTGACCTGGTTATAACAAATCAAGCCGGTTGCATTAACCGATCCACTCACCGATCTCCCATGCCAAATTGATCCACTCACCAGTTAAAAGAAAGAAGTTGAGAAGTTTCAATATCATATACAATTACTCATTTGGATGTGTTTAATCATGTATCATATCAAAATTTGTCTTCTCACAAAATGTTTAGCTTCTCATTTAAACTTGTCCTATATACATATATATATTTACACACACACACACACACACACACACACACATATATATATATATATGTGTGCATCTACCCAACATCCTCTTGTTGCTCACAAAATAAGCAGAAATGTTAAGACCATAAAATCAAGTAAAAACAAGTTCCAACCCAAAAAAAGAAGCTATGTTTCTATTAGGTAACAGGACAAGTCTCGAGTTAAGACATTTACAGGCGATTCCCTCTCATCGCTATAAATCAGAAGAAGAAGAAGAAAAAAGTAAAGTATCTAGATTCTAGAATGTACTAGAAGGCCTATTAGAATGTTACAATTCACCATATGGAAAAGGTAAAAAAAAGAAGAATCTATACCAGGCCTTTTTGGATTAGAAGAAATATATATGGCATGTATTAATAACAGAGATACCAAAAGCCTAAAATCAAAACTAACCCCACCACCATTACTTCAAATTCAACCACATTTTCTTCTAAATCCCCCCTTGGACTAGCTTTCTTAATGCCAAAAATGCAGCTCACTTATCTCTCTTCAGAATCTGATTCAATTGATAGATACAATCTTGGTCTCACCGACCGCTTTTGCCGAGGAAACGAGAAAGGACTATCAGATCTATCCCTAATACTCTTATCAGATCTACCACCGCCGCTCATTCCCAGAAGCAAAGAAGCTGCCCATGCACAAACCAACCATCAATTCCAATTATCTTTTATTAAAAAACATCCTTACAAAAACAAAAGATTCACAAAAATAGGGAAATACCAGTATCTTCCAGTGAATTCAATGCACCATCCTCGCATGGTGGTCGCTGTCTCGAATTCAACCCATTGGAAGCAGCAGCAGCAGCGGCAGCAGGGTCACAGTGGACCCCACTGCCGCCCCCACCTAGTCTGAGGGATATCCAATCATCACTTCGGAAACCGTTTGACATAGCTGCCTGATCTGTCAATTCAATCTGTTCTGTTGCTTCAGACGGCCTTGTAGGAAGAAAGAGCTGAAGTGAGGGATCATCACCTCCAAAAGCCAACGGATTATCGACCAACCCATCATTTATATCAGGGTTTGATTGGTGGCGTGAAGAATCAGGGATAAGTGCTGCAGAACCCATGTTAGTCTCGGCAGCCAATGGGTAGCCACCACCCATTGATGTTGGACAACCGAGTGCATCACCATGATGCACATCCACTAAGGCATCTACGGGATCTGCATCTGAACCAAATAACTGAAAGCTAGGCCCTCCATGATTGCTAGAAGGTAAAGACCAGAAGGGCACCCCAAAACCATCATCATTTGTATCGAAAAGACCAAGGCATGAAGTTCCCCCAGCCACAAGAGAAGGATCCTCGGGATGTGGCTCCGTAATTCCAAGGGGAAGACTAGAAAAAGCAACGCCTTCAGCAGCATCTGCACTACTGTTCTTATAGATTTGTCCAGAAGAAATTAGGTTTTCAGCCTCTTCTTCTGAATCACTGAGAACAATAACTTCAGCATCCCCTGCGGCAGCCAAAAGATTTCGGTCCGTAAATCCATGGCCTGCATCAATATTCAGAGTAAGTGAATCAAGCTCAGCCCCATTGGCCATAGAGTAATCAAAGTGCCCACCACCATCCTGATTCACGCTAGTATCTTCATCCCTACCACTTCCAGTGGCACTGCTGCTCATGTTGTTACCGTTATTCATAAAGTTATCTGGTAGTTTACTACCAGAAGAAAGTGAGAGCAGATTTTCAGGTTTTCTGACTTCCCAAAATCCATTTTTATTTTTCTTCATTCCGAGCTTCAAACCAGTATGACCTTCAGAAGCACCTTCTTGTTTGACCTGCTTTAGTGCTTCTGGCTTGGGTTTAGACTCCACTTCCACGGGTACACAAAGAGTACCATCAGGTAAATGCCACTGCCCAAGATCTCCTAGACTCTTACGGTCATCCTCTGCCTTCGCACGCCAAGAACCATCTGGCTTCACCTCAATATCTGTCAAGTCCTCCCCACAATTGGACATCTTCATGGAAGAAAAAGTAGAACTTCCAGTCAGTATATCATTAGAGAACAAAACAAACGAACCAAAATCAAGATTCAATCCAAGTATTACCTTAGATGTAATACGAGTAAAATATGGGTCAATAATGATATTCTCCAAAGAGTAGTTCTTGAGACAAATGGGACATTGCCACTGCAGCAAACCCAAAAGAACAAAGAAATTAAGAATTGATATACATATATATACACAGACAGAGAGAGAGAGAGGTCCTAGCATATAAAAGGTGGCCAAGGTACGAAATGAGAAGTCCAGAAACACTCTCTCATGGATGTATATAGTCACTTGCCTTACGAGACCGTTGGTTCATTTCCACAAACACTTCAAGATCAAAACAGCCCATGTGGGCACAAGGTTTGAATCTTCCCGCAATTTTCATTCTTGAACCACTCATCTGTAACACACAAAACACATCAGTTGTGAAACTGCATCAACCAATGCCACATCATGCATCAAAAGACAAACTGATGCCAGATGCTTTTACAATTGAAGTTTGGTCCTTGGCAAAAATGGAATATAAAATAGAATAAAACCCGAAAGGCATACAACCAGCTATTCCTGCCAACAAGATAATAAGGGCCATTCTTAAAAGTAGCACAACAAAATTTGCAAAATAAAATAGAAACACTAGATATCACTTGAAATGAAAATCTTCGACCAAGATCACGAAGTGCACAGCGAGAATCAACAGAAAGATGTTAACAAATTTACTAGAAACAGCAAACACAAACGCTAACCTAATTTTCAACTGTGTGAAGTAACAAAGAGAAAAAAAAAACTAAGTTTTGGGTCAATTGGACATGGTGTCTAGTTGTTAGAACAGCATTAGGAAGTAAAAGTCGATATGGCTTCCTCGATACGCAATATAAAAGCTTGGACTTGCAACTGCTTGCAAGTCCATTTAAGTAACTGGACAGAACATAGTATCCGATACATGTAGTCATATAAAATCAATTTGAAACAATGAGCTTCCAAAATAGTTACAGATAGATGCAGTTGAATAGAACTATTCAATGAAGTCTCCATATGAGTGCTTGGGAGAGCTATGTCTATTGTATTGCCTTCAAGTGATCATCGTTCAGATGCCACCGGTTGTAATGTTGTATGCATTTCAATAAAACAAAACCTAGAAAGGAAAAGTAGAAGCCAACATCAAAGGCACTTCTGCTAAACAAAAAATCTCAGGACGAACAGTCACAGAGAAGATTAAGATATTATAAAACATTTGATTCTGCAACAACAGTAGCAGATGCGTTTCTTAACCACAAATCATCATATAGCAAGCATAGCTTGACTGATTACATAAGCCGTTATACAAAAAGAATATCATGACTCACAAGTTATAACATGCATGCCCACTGCCCAAAAGGCCAAAAGCCCAAAACAAACCATCCCCTTCTCTGCTTTGGATTGTATTGTAAACATCAAGAGATCAAAGCAAATGTGTTACTTACAGGACAACGAAGATTGACCGGAATAGAATCAGCAACAACCTCCAGATCACTGTCACTGTCAGCATTTTCTGTGGCAGGCCCACCTCCTACACAGCGACGAACACGTGCAAGGGCATCTTCAAACCGCTCACCATCTGACTCTTTGGGAATAAGGTTGAGAATCTAAGATGCAGAAACAACATAAACAATAGCACGACAGTCAGGTAAAGCTAAACATATTTTTCCTCAATGATATAGACATAGATATCAATATATTAATGTTAAATCTGAAGTTGAACTTACACTTAATATCAAAATTTGCACCCATAATAAAGCCGCAACAAGTAGATGCCAAAATCAAGAACATAAACAACAATTCTAAACAATATGTGTATAATCAAAGGGATATCTGAAAGAGGCATACCATCCAAATAGCAGTGTAAAGATCAATGTCTTAAATCAAGAGTATGAAAAAACTGAAGAACAGTATTACACCCTCATCTAGACCCAATAATAATAACAAGACTTCTATAACAGTCATGGGATCTTGCACAAGCATAGCACCAAGGTAAAAAAAAGCAACTGGGGTGGCAAAGCATGCACCATTTTCAAAGCTCAATAAACTCAAAAGCAATCCCTGTTAAACCATAATAGATCTATTTTCATGTAACATTATTAAATCAGAATGTCATTATTAGTACTTCAACACCAAAAATCAGAAAATGATGTATAGGTTAATAAAAAGGCAGTTAATCTTTTCACAATTGACCCACCACATACAATGAAATAATTGAACGCATACCATAGTGCAACCACTAATTATCAAGATATTTTATCTAAACAGAGGACAGGGACCTACGTACTGCTTAGTATCAAGTATAGGTGCTTAGAATGGTGTAATTACTAATTAACAAGAAATTTGAATAAATGCTACCATTACATTTTACATAAAAAGTAAAACAGCATATTGATCTGGGGAGCTCTTGTGAACGAAAGATAAGCAGATAACTTGCACACTGAAGAGATCACGGATAAGAAGAATTGTTTTCCTCTTACGGCGTTAGCATATCTTGTTAACTATTCTTGTTATCAAATTATTTGTTGTACTATAATCTGTAGAGATTCAAAGAAAGCCCAAATGACTTAGCAGACTAATTAAAGTGGGACCAGGCTTTAACCCCATGCCATGTGCTACACCATATAATTAGCCACACCTCTGGATGCATATGGCTCTACCCCTGCTAACCCATCCGATGTAGCAAGTTGCCACCTTCATGATCCGATGCTTCTTACGCCATGGCATACACCTTGATAATAACAACGCTCATGGCTTCAAAAAGCTGTTCCATTTACATTCTAGAAGAAGCTTAAAGGACTTTTTTCATTTTACAATTTTATCCCCAGTATGAATCAAGTTAAGAAAAACTTAAGAGTCCCGATCCTTAAAAATGGAATGTAACCTAGAAACATCACATTTGACTTGACGTTCAAGTTTAGGACTCCTTTTTACAATGAATGATTGTGAAGTGAACTCTTTCCTTACGAAGGAGCATTAACAATAACCATCAAACATAGAATACTGATAAAAAGTTGTTAATAATAATAAGAGAGCAGCAAGCCAACGGTTGAACAGGGCCAGCTGCTCAAATCTTTTTTGAAACATAGGTTGTTGGGAAGCGGTCCCTGCTCAACAACAGTCAATATTTGACATATCACATGATTCATTTTCTCTCTTAACACATACACAGCAGCACACCTGCATTTGAGCAGGGCCTGCTGTCCAAATATTTTTTAACAAAATTACTCTTGGAGGCAAAAGAACACTCCAAGAGCACTCACTACAAACAACAAAAGATGTCAAGAGTTTACGTCTAATGCAGAAGTAAAATTTTCGAAAGAAATTTACTTCCCATTAAGACAACATAAAACATGGTAACCACATGTACTGCAATACTACAGATGACACCTTTAACAAACTAACATCTTGATTTGAAGAAGACTCCCACCTGTTGTACTGTGCGCCGTTTCACAATCCGGACACCCAAACAGAACACACGAGAATCGCAGCCTGTTAAGGAAATTTTATTAATTCCATCTCGAGTGCATGGTGTGATCTGACAAAAAGAGAAAAAACATCAAGTAAAACACATTAACAAAATAAAAAAGAATACAGATATCTGAGGAATTAAATATTAATTTCTGAAACCATGTGCCTCTACCGCCCACACAGAAAGTTGGCCACACCAAGAAAAAGACAAATGACAAGCTTATCATAAAAACTTCAGAATAGCAGGCCCCTAAGCATTGGCACAACATTTGAACACAATCCTAATTAACTGTTATAGAGGTTAAACTTACAATAGGACCATCATCACGGCCATTGGCTCCCAGCAATTGAGAGCCAGGTCTATTTATTGCACGCATGGGCATACCTGTCATGTAACATAGAGAAACAAGAGAAGCACCGTAAGGCATACGCCAAATCCATGACAAATGCAGAATTCGAATAGATATGGTCCGAAAGAACGGAAGGAGAGATTGCACAGGCTGACAAATTTCTTCTTTTCTCAAAAATCATGTCTTATCAAGTGAATGGAGATAGATAAAAGCATACCATTGATTTGTAGCTCTGCAAACTGTGGCCATTGCATCCTATAAGAAACCTTGTCGTTCAAAAGCATACACCAGGCCTACATAATAATCAGCCACATTTTCACACGGCACATTAAAAATCCTCTATGTTGATCTACACAAATATTAAAAAGGAAGTTTATATCACTGACCTGAACATCATACTCTGGTTTCACCAACAACTCCTTGTCCACTCTTGTAAGTTGAAAAGTTTTTTCAACACTTTGCATTGGGTTTGTACTGAAAATACATGCCAAACATATTTATAATAGCAGCATGCTTGAATATGCGGTAAAGAACTCAAGAGCACATGCATGCAACTAGAAGAACCATCACTTCTACAAAATGAAGATATACTACCACGCAATATGTAGAAGGAAGATTTATTGACTTCATCAGCATATTATTACAAAAGATAGTCTGCTAAAATATATTCCCCCCCACCCAGCCTTTCTGCACGTGAAGCCATTTAAAAAAGTAAAGAAGACAAACTAACAAAGAGCGAGACACACCCATCTGCCGGGGCATTTGCTATAGTCAGCTTCACAGGCAATAGAGGATGTGCGACAGTAACCCAGAACCTGAATGTTCAAAAGTGCATATTAGTTGCCATTTATTATTAATCACGCAATTAAAAGATGAGTAATTCAAACTTGCAACTGGATTTTAACCGTAGCTTGCTAATGGCTTCATATTGGCCTGTTTTACCCATGTGTGTTGTGTACCAAAAAGAAAAGAAAGACAGAAGTAGAAAAACTAGATATATGATGCACCTCGTTTCAAAGAAAAGAGACATCATGCACAAATTGTGATACAGCACGATGATTAGAGCAATATAGGAGAATAACAGATCTACATGAAATGCAAAAGGGTCGTGCAACATGTGCCATAAGCTTGAATCCCCATACAGCAGAATGAAGAAAATAAGTAGGATGACATATCACAAACAGTGGGGTGCCAGTAATATCCTAACTGCCAACATTGACAAATTACTTTCTAGGTAAACCTAAAATAGCAAAGTCATGATCAAATCTAACAAATAAAAAAACTATATCAAGCTATTGATAACTGGAACAAGTCAATCAGATAATATGACAAAATAAAGCATGCAAGATGCCAGGCAAATCAATAAGAGAGATGATCATTCATGTAACAACACCACCTTTAACCCGAAATTGCTGGGTAGGAGAAAAGGGTACCCATGATAAACTATAGAAGTATTGCTGGAAAACTTAATGGCACAACTAGTCTTATTGGAAATTTCCAAAGGCTGATGTTTAAACCAGTCTTGAATTTATTCCGCTCCGTTAAGCCCCTCATTTTACAATTTCAACCCTGGTTAAATTAAGCCCTTCCCTCCAACTCTCTTAGAGCCTTCTCTCCATACAAGTCGTTACTTCACACCCTTGCACCTGAAGACTATTCACAATATGATTCTACAAGAAAAACGCTGGTGAAGGGGACTACTTATCAACAAAAATGAAATCACCTGATAAACCGAGAGAAGATGAATTTCCACCAAAAATAACAGTTGACAAAAGAAACTTGTTTTACATGTACTCAACCAGGAAAAAAGAAGGAATAACAATTATCACTTACGGGTCTGCACGACCAAGTCTACAAAGCTCGCAATAGAACTTTGGGGGAGGTGCTGGTAAAATACCCTCCATGGGTTTCTCCGGGATAATAACACAACTGATATGCTGCCACACGTTGCATCTTGGATCTTCACACTGAGCAAGAAAATTGGTAAGGTAAGCCTACGTTTGTTGGCAAAAGGAAAAGGTAGGTGCATCAACACAAGGAACAGTTGATTATAATCATTTCCATAAAATTAGGAAAGTTAATCATAAGCTAAAAATGTAAAAGGAAAATGTCAAATGGGCAGTGCATGAGAAGTAGAATATAGATGAGGCATATCTGTCAAAGTTCCATTCCTTACTATGAGACAAACTCATGTTCAAACAATACAAATCTATTTTTTCAGCAAAGCACAAAGAAATTAGGTATCATGCCTCTTGAAACCATTATACCAACTACAAATGAAGACTAAGCCTAAAAAGTACACAAAACAAATCAACTTCAACAACTGAAGACGGACATTAAAAAAGCAAAAGGTTCACTGTGCAAATAATGCCCACCCTACTGTTGTGCATTGAACCTCAATGAATCATCAGCAGAGATAATAGAAGTTCATCAAAAGTAAACATGCCATATCACATGAAAATGCATACCAGTTGAGTACAGAGCATCCACAATGAACTTAACATGAGACATGAAGTTAGAAGAGAATACGACTAGCCATTAGAAGCATACAAGCATGACAAATGCCAGTGTGGCACATATTTCATGTTCACAATATGCATAGTTGAGAGAAGATTTCTACCCCATATAGGCTCGTCACAATAAGATAATATTACCACATACGCTGGCGGACACCCTGGTCTCAGGATGCAACTGTTGTCAAGGCAAAAGGTCTATATGGATAACATTCTTCAACACACAGAGACAACAGAAACAACTCAAACTATCCCCACCGGCCCACCCCATCCCTTTTCAACCCAAAACAACAGAGGAGATGTACGTAATAAGTGAGGTTATTGTTACATGAAACAAAAAAACGCCACCAGTCTTGAATTGAACTTAGTGGATGACAGAATGCTGCTACCTTTATAAATAAAGGTGAAAACCAGATGGTATTTTTTGGCACAACAAATGTGAGAAAATAAGACACTACAGAATATTCGAGACATAACTACAACAATGAGATGACATATTTTAAAAAATTCACATCCACCTTAACATCAAACATCGTGATAGAAAAACACACATATAAGAGAAAGGAAGGACTGCTGAGACCTTTATCATCGAATCAGCTTGCAAAGAGCTTCCACATAGGCAGCGAACCTTTTCCACCTGAAGAGTGTCTTCGATCTCCTCTTTAAGTTTCGTATTATTACTGCCATCTGAAACACCCCGAGCTTTTGATGCCAAATCTGTTGCCCCGGAATCCTGCATTTTCCTTGTGGAAAGGGAAAAGGGAAAACGTGAGAATGAAAAGAACAGGCAATATAAACTATATTGGCACACCAGCCGTTGATTTGCATGAGATGGTAGTAAGATTACTGTAGGGCATATAGCCATCTTATGCATAACACATAATGCTTAGACACATAGGCACCACAACAGACAAGAGCATATACCACTGGTTTGCTACATTACAATATGCTTGTAGGGAGAAAAAAATCTATAAGATATGCACACCTGTAAATGTCATCGACTAATTTAGCAACTTCTTCTTTCCCAACAGCATTTTTCTTGGACCACATTCCTGAAACTACTCAACATGACAGATAAATTTTCATTACTTGCATAAATAAGTACAAGAATAAAAGCCACACATAAATGAGGCTCATGCAGTACCAAAACGAAGTTGGAATCCAAAAGAAGTAATTAGATAGTAACATCCAAGAGCCATCACACAAGGACCGGTGATACAACATAGATATGAAGATGGGAAAAACCTATTTAACTTAAGTAACCAACATAAATAATGCCAAGGCAAGCCAAGGGAATGCAAATGCTATTACCAAGGCAACGAGGAGGGCGCTAGTCATCAGTAAGGTGGCAAGTCATAAAGTCCGTTTTCATATATATATATATATATATGTATGTTCTCCTCCAGCCTTTAATTAGACATGGAAAAAGCGTATGAATAAAAACTTAAATTTCTTAATTGACGCCACCAAATGCCATTAAAAACACATATGGTAACATAAAAATACTAAAATAAAGTAGTGGATCCAGCTTAAGTCATTATAAGTTCAACGCTTCAGGTTGACCACCCAGAATGGACGGGGAGGAGAAACTTAAATAGAAGAAAGTACTAAACATCAGAAAAGTAATCAGGGCCAAAGTAGGTCATGGAGATGAAAAGGAAGCACCGCGACTGATAATCAATCGCAAGAGATCAGGTTTTTATTCAACCCCATGGGGTTTTAAGTCGACTAACATAAGAAAGGGATCATGGGTAAACAGGATCCAAGTCATCCAGCTTGGTCTGGAACTCTGGAAGGCATCCAAGGGACCACTTTGAAGTTTTAAAGGTGAATCTCAAGGTGCTCATGCTCACAATAATTATCAAGGTAGCGAGGCTTCAGTAACCATTCTAATATCATTAACATGGCACGCACCACAAAATAGCAAAGTACCCATTCAGGTCATTCAACATCTCTGAGGTGAAAAAAAAAATTAAGTATTACAACCAGAAAGTGGAAATCACATCACATGATAAAGGAATCAGAATATCATCATAGATTAAGGTTTCAAGGACTGCATATCAATGTAAAAATATATTTGAAGTCTCCAAATTTGAAGATATGATCAAAGACCACCGCCTCTGTAACCGAGCTCTTTGACATATGAAGACAAGAAAATATAGATTCAAAAGGAGAATATGACTTAGGAACAGTACCACATGAAAGATTCATCAAATCTCCAAGATGGAGTAACATTTACCTCGCTCATCCGAGAGAATAGTTAATATACGTTCAGTAAGATCCTGCATGAACAAGAAAAAGAGAAATCAATAAAACTATTTACTCATGAAAAGCCTATTGAACACCAAACAAAGTGAATTAAGGATACAAGAAAATCTAAAAGATATCATTTAAGGGAATGGATACTAAAACACAAAATGTTGCTACTGGAAAGCAATGTAGACTTTGTTAGCTGCATTGAACAGGAAAACAACATTCATATTTGGATACAAACTAAAACCTTTTATTTATCAAAACAACAGTGAAGACTAAATAACTGTTGATGGTTGTTCGACGCTAAGAAAATCAAGATATGACAAACTGATTTGAAAAATACAGAAGGCGAACTTGGGGTACACTAAAGAGATTTCACAAAACAAAGAGCAAGTATATAAAAGAACTAAGCACTAAATTGTTGTTTTTCTGCCACATAATACTAGTTTATTTTTCCAAGGCCGCAAACAAAAGTTGACCAAATAGTACAAAATGCAGAAAAAGAAAAAGGCAGCAAGATTATAAAGAAATGACTACATGGGCAGATGGGAAAAGAAGCAAAAAAGAGAGACAAAAACAAAAAAAGGAACATGTTTAAAAATTAAAGATCCATTAGTCGGACAATGATAAACTTGGGTTGCTGGGACAATAAACAAGTAAGCCATGTTTAAAAATTAAAGATCCATTAGTCGGACAATGATCTACACACCTTAATAATGTCAGACTGAAAAACAAATGCATTTTGCAGGTATGCTTCCCTTACTACAAACAACTAATATAAGGCCCATGAACAGGGAAATCTAGAATATTACAGTACCTATTAGAACAATGAGAGTGGTAGCAGAAAAAGACCAAGACCAAAACCCAGATCAGGTAGCCCATACAGATCTGAGCCTATGCAGACTATTGGTTAACACAAGAACAAAACACAAGAAGGGAAAGCACGATTGAACCTGTTTCCTTCCTTGCTTGGAAAGACCAAGTTGGGTGAGGATGTCCTTCAGCTCTCTTATCCGAAAATGTGCCAACTTTTCCTACAAGACAAAGAACAGATAACCATAAACATATTGCAACTAGAAGCAATTCAAAGTATATATTATAATTCACCAAGGTTCTAGCCATTAGATAACAGAAATTGAGTCTAAGCACGTACAATTTGCCAGAAAAAACACACAAGCAAAATGGCTCAAAATTGTCAAATGCTGATCTAATCAGATAAGCAGGTAGTCATATTTCTTAGGATATATCAACTATAACAAAATGTTCAAGCAGAATACAATCTTAGACACCTCACACAAAATTTCACCATAATTACACAAAGCACCTGCTCTCAACTTCATGTGCACATTCATATGGGCTATAAAAATGGTATAGAGAGACTCGTGAATTAGGTTTGCACTAAAAGAAAATGGTTGATGATTAGACTTATTTGCAGACAACACCCATTCTACTCTCAAGAGTCCACTTCGCCAAAAAAATTGTTCAAATAATAGTCCGATCAAGTTGAACCGAGGTCCTCAATTCACCACAGAAAATAACACATATCCTTGATGTTAGTGAATTCAAGTGCAGACTTCAATTGTGCAAAGCAGGGAAGACTAAGCACATAAAACACGCATTGACATTGAATTTTTAAAACAGCACCAAGACAACCTACAAACCATTTCATATGCACAAAATTCAAAACAATACCTTGCAACTTGCTACCAAATCCATCTTTAACTGTATACATAAATCGCCCCCTTCGCCCAGCAGTTATATCATTCAGCAGCAACCAATCCAATAAAAAACGTTCATCCGCTTTTTAAAAGTTCACCACTGATCCAATCAAAAACGTTCAACCACGCATAAATTTCAACCTAAAATGAAACATAAAATTATATAGATAAAAAAGGTTAATCGTATCCAATTTCCTTAAATGCAATACCACGTAGATTAGGGCACTTACGCGAAGAATAAATTGGGCGAAATTGAGAGTGATGATTGCCGAAATCGGAGGTTTTTGGAGTATTTTGTGAAGTCAGGAGCCTTACGCCGCCGACGTATATTTCTCTCTCATCGATTATTTCTCTCTTTTGACTGAGAAACGGAGCCGGAAAGCAATAATCTTCCTTCAATTACGAGTTTAAACGGACGTCAAGGATGCTTTGCAATCTGATTTACTTCATACCAACAAATCCGGGTTTGGATTCTATGCTCCTTACGTGCATTTTAGTATTCCTGTGTCCTCTTTCGTATTTCCAAAATCAGGAACTTCATATTATTTTCACTTTAGTCTCTCTTGTTTTAGTAATTTTCAAAAATGGCCCCTTTAAATTGGATATGGTGATTTTTAACCATTGAATTTAAACTCCAAATTGTTTGGTTTGATTTCATTCTTTTACCATTATAAATGGATTTCATGTCCATTAATTTTTCATCTCATGAAAAATTAACGGTAGGCATCGGAATTAAAGATGGTCAAACTGGCCCGGCCCGGCCCGGGACTGGCAAGGACCGGTTATAGGATCGAAATTTGGGATCAGTTATGGATTTGGGATGTTTCGCGGGACCGGTTATGGACCGGCCTGGCCCCATTTTTCAAAAAAATAGCTATTTTTAAAAAAAAAATGTAGCCGTATTTTTTGCCCTTTTTTGTATTTTTTTGCTTTATAAACACTATATATATGTGTCTTGGTTGAGGGATTTACATACCAAGTTTTCGCAAAAAACACAAAAAAAAACGTTCACAATTATCGGTTTCTCGCTATATTTTGTAAGATAATTAAATTTTAATTATAATAAAACGCATTTTTAAAGTGTATTTGAGTGACCAAATTACAAATTTTATAATGTAGTAAAAATATATATCATTAAAAAAATAAAAATAAAAAAATTATTTTTTAATGACCGAGACCAGGACTGGCGGCCCATAACCGGTTACAATAAAGCTTGACCGAGCTCAACTATTTCGAACGAAACCGAGACCGGTTTACGCCGGGACCGGTTATGGTCGGTTATGAGAAATCTTGGGACCAGTTGGGACCGGTTTTTGGCCATCACTAATCGGAATGGAGCGGGGACCTTAATCCCCATCTTCATTCCTGATTTCAATCTCTATCTCCGTCTCTATTAAGAAATATAATTACATCTTCATCACTGTCCTTAATAGGGATCCCTACCGGGGATTTTCTTTCTTTTTATGGGAGATATTTTAAATCAAATGTATTAAACATTATACTTTTGGTCGGTAATGGTCCATGTAGGTCCATGTTTAAATCTCGTATGTTTCCAAAAATTTGCTTTTAGGGTATGTGAATAACATTACAACATCATACATAATTGTTTGATCAAACGTTTTTCGGCTTTCCATGTTTTTTATCTAGTAAGACAAGTAAACAAAAATGCATCTAAGAAAAATGATCAAAATACTATTTTCAAATTTAAAATATACTAAATATAATTCTTTATAAATAACATATTTACTAATAAACATATAATATGTTTAGTAATAAATATATAATATCTTTAACATACGGGGACGGAGCGGGGAGGGGACTACGTTATCCGTCCTGTCCCCATCATCGATCCCAGGTTTTGCTAGGAATTCCCGGTTTCATCGGGACGGGTACATCAGGTTCTCCAATAGAGCTCTCATGCCTAATTAACGATTAGTGTTTCACAGCAGAATATTCTTTTTTTGTAAAGGGTGTTCCAGACAATGACGGATCCAAAAACTTAGTTGATTTGGGTCAGACTTAGGAGTGTAAAAAAATACTGAATAACCCACCCGAGCCAAAATGATTTCAGGTTATTTGATTTTCATGTTAAATAGTTTGGTTAACAAAATAATAATAACTTATTTAGTTTAATATCGGTTAAACAAATTACGACTGTAAGATATCAGCCGTGATAAACTTAACCATAATTATTATGGATGTTTGAGATCGAACCCAAAATAAATGGATATTACATACCCACTGCAAAATATTTAAACTCGTTACAACTGTTGATGTAATTAGGTGCTATGTTTTATTTGGTCAATAGTAAACGTTTGATTAATATCTATATCTATACTATATTATAAATGGTCAATAGTAAACGTTTGATTAATATCTATATCTATACTATATTATAAA